AGTGCTCAAGGTGTGGTTCCGGAGGCCACAATAAAAGCACCTGTAAAAACAATATTCCATTGCGCAATGTATCTTAGACAATATGATTTGTGTTGCTTTGGTAGGTCATGTAAAATTTACTTTTATTTGTGGTGGGTTTCGTGTTATGTTGAATGAGAGTTCTTTTAAATTTGCATAATTTGGGTTGCATTGCTACAGCATGCTGTATTGCTTCTAGATTGCTCTTATATTGTACTTTTATTGTACTAGTATTGCTTCCAGATTGCTATTATAATTTGAGTGCGAAATTAAAGGGCCTGGAATGTAATTCCAAATGGATAAAAAAACATTAAAGTTCTTAGAATTCCTTTATTACACAGCTACCGTGATACTCCGACTAAACCTTCTTTTCTGATTACAAATTCGGCCGATGCATAGGCCAGATGTGGGGCAAATACAAGGTGAAATGTCCTATGTGTTTGACTACATATAGTTGTTGAAGGAGCATTACGAATGTTAACCCCAATAGATTGCTCATGTCTTGCCAAGAACACTCTTGAATTTATGGAATGTGCCCAAGCCAGTCCCAAAGCTGGACTCACCCGTCTGCCTGATGTGTCCAGGGACTCCAAGTTTCCCAACCTCACCCCATTCACTCCATCAGGTGGCCCAATAAAATCCACCACTTGGTTGGTGACAATCACCGCAAACCCAAACTTATTTGCTAAACCCTTCAATGTCCCAGATATGTTGAAGAACATTTCAGACCGCCATTGCGAGTATCACAAGTTGAGGATGCAGCTGAATCCATTTTGGTGCAGCTGTATCGACACAACAGTGATCAATGGCAATAAATGCTTCTATGTCTCCAAGGACATGGATGAGTTCTTGAGCATCATGAACACCACGAACATATATGTCTTCCAATGGCTCCAACCTTATTAAGTTGGGGTATGATGCATGATAAAGGTTGCCTAGTTGTTGCAATCGACGAAATGAGAAGCTAAATTCTGTGAATATGTAGACGGAGGAGCCCCCTAGTCCGCCATGTGAGGGTGGAAGCTGAGCTCGTACCGTAAATTGGAGACAAAGCTGCGTCTTCCCGGAACCTCTCTCCCCTACCAATTCTGTTATGGAGTTGCAGGGTATCCCACCCCCCCAGCAGTCATCTAGTATTGGGCATCCAATGGATAATTTAGGGGTTGAAAGAGGAAGGAGCATGAGGTTTTGGGGTGTCATGTTTATGTAGTTTTGGGGGGGATGTGATGGTGCTACAAGGCATGCATTATATATATAGAGTTCATTTTGAAGGTCTGTAATGTAGGCCATCTGTCTTTTAAGGGATGTATACTTCATCCTTTTTCCAGGTTGTAATTACCTTTTTTTTTTCTTGAATTTTTGAGGAGCAAATAAATTTAAAAACATTCTGATGCAGTACGTACGGTAATAGGATCATATTGTAACTCTATCATCTCTCTATTGTACTCTTATTGACATAATATTGCCATTATACGTATGTTTATTGAATATTTATTGCTGCTATATCGCCACTCAACTGCACACCGATAAACTGTATACGCACAAATACAAAAAGAGGCATGATCATTCCATAAAATCCTATTTCCAAACTTACATAATACAACAACAAGCCACCCCATGGTTACATAATACAAAAAGAGGCCACCTCATAGTTCCATTTCCCTGCTGTTGACAAATTCGAAGTTTGCACACTCTTCAAGTGCGGCGACCACGACCCATGAAATTCATGACCCCGGCCACAGTGATTATGGCCCAGTTTCATGCCGGATCCACTATTTTTGCAAACTTACGAAATAGTTCAAATCCCATTTCCACTTGTTGTTGCTTCAACTTGGCCATTTCTTCTGATTCCTTGAATACCATAATTGCATTGGTAGGGGCAATTTCAATTTTTCATTTGATGGTCCTTGGAACTATTAAGCCTTTTGACTCACCCCCTTCGTATTTGCACATTTTGTTTGAGGTGACCCATTTTCCATTGTAGCACACGAGAATAACAATTGTCTCCATTTCTGACCATGACAAAACAACATTTCATTAACACAATATAACCACAATAAACATACAATACAATAGCAATATAACCACAAATCAATATAATAGCAATATAATTATAACATCAACATAACAGCAATACGA